TTTGACTTGTTGAAATTCTTAAGTTTTTTTAAAAATGTTGTTCAGTTTTTTCTTATTGTATCGTCAACGCAGCTGGTTTTAGTCCGAGGTGGTTTGAAACTGGTTGGATATGAGATACCGGAGTGAGAGACCAGTGTTAGAGCCCAGAGCGAGAGACCAGAGGGAGACTGGAGAGCGACCCGAGAGAGACCAGAAAGGAAAAATACCGTAACAACAATATGCATGTAGTTATAAACATAATTAACAGCCTATTGTGTTGTTCATGTCCCTGTGTTGCATGAGAATTATATATGTATTTTTGTGTATTGTATTGATGTAATTTCCTTCTTCAGGGGAGAATAAAGGTCTGTCTATCTATCTCGGTTAAGTTGTACATATAGCAATATTGCGATGCAGTGGCTGATCTGGGTGGAATTTGAAACTTGAATTTCAGTTCACAGCTTCAGGAGCTGTTCATAGTTCCCAATTATCCCAATCGATTTCACATAAAGGTTAATTATAATTGTCGAAGCCCCATGCGTCTCTCTTTGTATTTACCGTGTGTCCATAACCGTCCGTCCAGCAAATATTTCACCGCTATTATCCGAGAATCATGGGTAATTTGGTGCCTGCCTGAGTCACACATTGACAGTAAAACACTTTTGAAACAGAGTAACAAGAAGAAAAGCAGGAGCAGAAGGAGGCTATGGAGCGAACCAAATCAATTCTGTCAACAGGAGGGAGAACCAGCAGCGGCCTCCAAAACTGCACACACTTGAGTATTTTAGGGGACAAGAGTCTATCCAAGAGTACGAAAGGTTTAGTTTATACATGTCTTTGAGAAAACATTGAACAAAGTCACATATATCGTTAAGTGTGACACTATTTTCTCACTGCCAGAGTTTGTGCTGTTTGTTTGAGCAAAATCTATACTTACAGAAGTTGGCTTAACAAAAGGAGGATGAATTTGAATTGATAATGTAAGCTAATGTTTTGCTAACATTATGCTAACAGCTGTTTTTATTAAAGTTGATTATGCTAAATTATGCTAAATGAAAGTCAACAAATATTCAAAGTAAAGTGTGGCAGATGAGTGTTGTTGTAGTGGTAGTTATACAGTAAGGTATATTTAGCCAACAATTTACATTACACTACGCATACAAAAAATCTAGAACTACCACAACAAATGGAGAATGGAAAAACAAGGAGGTAGATTTGACTTATTTTTCCTAACTTTTTGCAGTGCAGTATTTATGAATGTTTTGAGTGAGTGAATGAACTTAGGAGCTTAAATACACACAGTGTTTAGTTCATGAAATGTGGTTTAATCAGAATCAGAATCAGAATCATTTTTATTGCCACGTACGATCATTTATACAACTAAAACTAAACTAAAACTTGTTTTGGTTCAGGGAAATACTACAAATGTATAAGTTCCATTTCTTCCAGACTAGTAGTTTGTGCTCCACTGAAAGGACATTATTATTCCTCTGATAGGCCTGATAAAAAGTGCAGAACAACTTTGAAGGACTTATTTCTTGGTGTAAAAATAGAGAAAAGGACATTATCAAGGTCTTTGAGAAAACAACAAAAACATCCATAAATGATGTCCCTGGCTGAAGGTAACACAGGAGAAAGTGATCATTCCAAAAAAGAAACTTTGTCTTGTTAAACAATGTATAATGTCTCTCACCTGGATCCAGCTGGAAAAGTACCAAAAACTACAACCCTGTAATTGTAAAATCTTTTGAATTTGAAATACTGATATACTTTAAAACCACAAAAAAACGTTTACTTCCTTGTTCTCAGCTGAACTGCTACATGTGTGGGGTCTACATGTGGGTCTACATGTGTGGGGTCTACATGTGGGTCTACATGTGTGTATACTGTTAGGTTTAGTAGGAGTATCTGCAGTAGGAGTTCAATAAGCGTGTGAGTCCGAATGAGAAGGAAACCAACCCAAAGGATTACGAGAACACTTTAAACGACGATGCATTAAAACAATAGAAATTATTGCCATCTGCTGGCCATTTGAAGAACTACAATTTCAATCAACTTAGTGAAAGGAATATGGGACTTATTCTCATGTTTGACTTTTCAAAATCAACAGATAGGTACAGGATTTGGTTTTGGTTCAATTTACACTTCTATGAAGGTTTATGGAAGCTAATATTAGGCTTTTTATTAGGTTTAACAATTTTAGATGCATTTTAGTGTGCATTAGATCAATGGCATATATGACACACCTCTCCCCACCGGCCTGCAAAAGCAAGGATTATCTAAGTAGTGTCTCTCTGTTTTCACATGCATACATTGTTTTCCTCAGTCAAACCTTTCAATCAGCAAAGAAAAGTGAGATATAGACAATCTTCACTCAGCCAGTCATCTCTGAGTCCGAATTGTGAAATATTGACAATTTCTTAAATATTTTGTTTCTCATAAGATGAAAAACAACATACCTTTTTATGAAAGACTAGGCTTCAAAAATGAGAGCATAGTAAGTAAATAACGAGGGCGGGTTATGACATATTTCTCCATAGAAATCATTGCTAACTACTCACCATACCCACAAACTCATAGTTTTTTTATTCTCCATAAATATTTTTTGTGGTGCTGTTGCAGCCTGTAGCAGAACAGAGCATTTTTCTCTGGCTGCAATGACACTTGGACTAAATCAACATTTCCAATTTCAGCACCCCCAACCATTGAGAGTGAGAAACAGTGGCTCCCAGACCGATTCAATCACTGACACAGTAGCTCCGCAGAGGACACAATACTCACTCTACCACAACTGGAAACGCTCTGGGGTTTAGGATACATTTACATGCAAAACAGTCATTAAAAGTTTCACTGTTTACAAGCAAAGCACGCCAGAGATTCATAAACTTTTCATATAACAGGTTTATGAAAAGTAAACCTGGAGTACATAACTTTATTTTTCATCCATGGGCTAATACATGTTGTTTGTCCTCTCGGAAAGAGACTTGTAATATCATTTTTGTGGTCAAAGTAAAATGTAAGAAATGTTGACATCACAAAACACACAGGACTGGTTTCCTTTTTAACATAATTTTAGATCAATATTGGGGTTTCAAATGTAGTCGAGAAGCAGCTGGTCCTGCTCCTTACGTTCTTCCTTCCATAGAGATAGAACATGTTTTAATAGAATCTTCATAGCAACAATATTACATCTGTTGACACAAGCAGGTGGCATAAAGACACAACCACATCTAACCAAAAAGACGCAAACGTTTCTTTTTGAAAGTTCTTCAAAGTCACCTTGTTTCTGGTCGACAGACAATCACACACATTCCTCCACTTAAGATTTGATAGACCTGAGCTGAGGGAGCAGTGAGGTGAGCGAGACAAATGACAGCCTGAAGACAGAAGCGATGGACTCGGGGCTAAAGTGTCTTCAAATTAGCGAGAAATAATGGACGTTCCAAGACTCCAACTGGTGTTTTTGTATTAGGTCAAGACACCACTTTAAAAAACATCCACTTTTCTCCAATAGTTCTCTGTTAAAATGTGTTTGAATAGGATGTAATGTGCCAGTTATGAAACAAAATGCGGTGTCAATCAGGAACGACAGCAGTAAACCTTGACACGTTGTTTGAACCCGTGTTGGCTTTACACCATGAAGAAAACATGCAGGGACGTGTAAACATTGGTCATCTGCCCCTTATGGACCAATACCAATGTGTTTTCTGTTCAAAATTATGTAGTAAAACGGATGCACATGTGGTCAGTTCTGAATCATCAACTTATCACAGATGTGGTTGGAGATGGGAGGGTTGCAAATGTGTCTCGTTGTAGGAGAATAGGCGAGGCAAGTTTATGCAGTGCGATAATTATGTATGTTTACGTCTGTTAGCAGCCCGAGGGTATGAGACGAAGTATAGTGACTGTGGACACATGTGGTTCTATACTGCATACATTGCACAGATGCAGACACGTCAGGTCACTGCACAGTCTGACAGCAGCAGGAAGGAAAGACCTACAGAACGGCTCCTTGCAATACCAATCCTGCTCCTTCTCCTGAGGACTGGACTAATGCGATCATGCGTTGTGGTTTCTAGTTACGAGCTGCTGCCACAATTCAACCTTTGTTGTAAACGGCAATGAAAACGGATTTATCATGGTAAATTTTCTAGTCTATACTACACTACTTTTTACATTCTATTAATGTAAACAATCAGGGTGAAATACACTTATCGCAATCTCTTTCCTTTTTTCAATACATCCAACAGAAACCAACTTTTGCACCCATGCTTTGAAATAATATCACTATCTATCTATACATCTGTACTTCTATATCACTTATTATGGTGCCTGAGTGACCGTGGACTTCCCATGTATTAGTGCTTCTTGCTATAGTACAACCACTTCAGTGCTTATAATCATTTATCGTTGTTTCCTGCTCCATACCCTCTCGTGTTGAGTGACTGGTTAATTATGTCGTGCCTGTACCACTGCACCTGCTGGGGTTTCACAGAGAGTCTGGTATAATTGAGTTTGTTCATATGGAGTGACATATAGCTGCATGAGATAACTCTTCTTCACACAGATGTTTGGTACCTGCTAAAGTGTTATTTGTCTGGTCGTGCAAGAGTCATTTGGGATTTGCTTATTTAGTTTTGTCAAGTGGTAATTAAATGCGATCCAATATGCCTACTATCAATTCAACTTGTGTTTCTACCGTCTGCAATATTCTTTGAACTCATTCTTGGAAATATTGAGAAGATGTCTTTGCAATGTATTTTATATTCTGGTTCTCTAGAGGGCTACTCCTCAAATATATCTACTTAAGAAATAGGTACATGGTAGGTTTTTTGGAATAATGAGGGTCAAGAACAAGACATTTTTGAGGCTACTGCTGTGTGATTTTTGGTTGTGCTATAAAAAAATTAAAAAAAAGATTTTGATGTATGTATATGAAAAGTGAACTATTTTCTTCTTTATGTCAAATGCTTGAAAAATTAACATTTCCGCTGTTCTTTTGTGTTTCTTGCAGGGGTCCGATGGGTCAGATGGGCAGCCCCAAACCTGGAGGAGGAGGAGGAGGTGGAGGCATGGGTGGGATGGGGATGGGTGGAATGACGGGGTCTGGGATGATGGGAGGAGGTATGGGCGGAGGTATGGGCGGAGGTATGGGTGGTAATATGGGTGGCAGTATGGGTGGAGGTATGGGTAGTAATATGGGTGGTAATATGGGTGGCAATATGGGTAGCGGTAAAGGTGGTAATATGGGAATGGGTGGGGGTATGAGTGGAAATATGGGTGGTGGAATGAGTGGTGGAATGGGTGGTAATATGGGTGGTGGAATGGGTGGGGGAATGGTTGGTAATATGGGTGGTGGAATGGGTGGTGGAATGGGTGGTAATATGGGTGGATATGGAGGAGGCATGGGCACCGGTGGCATGGGCGCTGGCATGGGCATGAGTGGAGGGATCGGCTCTCGTACGGGCGAACCGTACCGTCTGGCCGCCCACGACAGCCCCAGTTCCCCCCGGCACATGTCGTCCAGCCCCACGCCCATGTCCCAGAGCCACAGTCCCGGGGGTCAAGGACAACATGCCTCCCGTCGCAACCTCCAGGTGGACTTCAGCGGCTCGGGTGGAGGATCCCGGACGGGGCGCTCTCCGTCGGTGTCCCCGGATCGCGGATTGACGCCAACCTCGCCTTATGCACCGTTGCCGCAGATTGCACCGATGCCAAGCAGCAAGCTCTGTCCCGTCTGCACCACCACAGAGCTGTCCAACCCTCCGGCGGTTCCCAACTACAACACCTGTACCCAGTGCAAGTCCACCGTGTGCAACCAGTGCGGCTTCAACCCTAACCCACACCTCACTGAGGTAAGAGATCACATATTCTACACGTCTGTTCACAGCATTAAGGATATGAAGGATTTGAAATACTATTTGAGATCTTTTTAAAATTGCTCAAAACACACACTGCTATTACAACTCATTATTTCAATTAAAAGTATTGATGTATAGCCCTAAATCAAAACAGTAGTTATCTCGGAGGACTTTACAAAGCTGTTGATTCACTGACACAAATCAGAGAATCAAACTGTTCAAACATAAGAAAATGCAATGTGCTTCATAGCATGTATCCTGCCAACACAAATTGTGTTTATTTATGCATTGACCCTTATTTGACAAAAGTCCTGTTTTAGACCTGGTTATATAGTAATGTAAGTGGGAAGGCCACATTTGTAGGTTTTTGTGGTGTTTTCCCTTGAGGAAAAATGAGGGTCGCCTCAGAGGAGATGCATTGGTTTTTCTTATTTGATCAATTATTGGATGACTTTAGTGAAGTTCTTTGATGTGACTGTGGTTTTGGGCTGTGAAAATATGAATTGTGGTACTCAGTATAAATGGACCTCTCTATGCAACTAGCCTAACGGGGCAAAGATTAGGAGATCCTTTATTCGGGTTAGGGTTATACAAAGTCAACGTATTTCATGCCAAAACTCCACTTTTCACTTACTTACAAGAAAATAATAAATGTGTTTTCGTCCTACAGCTACAGCTACTTTTATGTCCTCACCTTACTTTATACATATCAGCTCGAAAATAACAAACAGATTCACATATGATCGCAGCTCCCACTCTTGCAAATTTATTCACTATGGCCCACTCTCATACTTATCCCTGCCAAATACAGGTTATTTCAATTCCCCCTTCAGAGTAAATAATGTCTTGCTTAAATCAGCCTGGTGTCGGGTAATTAAAGGGCCGGGTTGGCTCTGATTCATGTGTTAGCTCCATCCTAACATGAAGCAGCAGCGACAGACACAGAGTGAGTCACTAGGACCATGCAATGTTTGTTTGCTTTAAATACACACAGGAGCAGGTGTGGGTGAATACAGGTTATATATAGGTCCACACGGTGCATAGTGTGGGGGTAGGTGCATCCACTGGGAAGATTTTTGTGAATGTTATGATTTTTCATGGTCCAAAAGGATAATAGTTAGGAGCTAGTAGGTCATCTGGTAGAATGTAAGATTAGATGAGATAATATAAACTTTATTGATCCCTAAGGATGTTACAGTGGTTCTGGCTGCTCTCATTCACAGAGTCACAGGTAAATTATAGATAAGTTGCTATAATAGTTGAACAGTCAAGATGTTCACTAATCTTCTGGTCCTTTCTATGCCTATGTTTGTGAGTGGTACTATGAAATAAGATAAGATAAAACCTAATTGATCTCATGGAGAAGTTACATTTGGCATCAAAATAAACAGTTAAACCATGCAAACAGTAAAAATATTTGCACTGTTTGCACTTATGTACTTCTAAAAAGTGACATTGGCAGTTTGCGGTCCTTGTACAGGTTGTCAAAAAGTGACTTGTTGTACAGTCTGACAGCAGTGAGGATGGAGGCCCATTCCCAGTCCATTTTCTGGACCATTTGGTATTTCATTTATCATGGAGCTGTCTCTATTGCACAATGTATGAAGAAAAAATATGTAGATCTAAGTTTACCAAACACACACAAGCACACAGACGGACAGACATAGACGATGACAGTACCCCACTGTTGGTGCGGTAATGATAGAAAAGTTGTGAGCCAATTTAAGTCTTATATCTATCTTGTCGACAAAATGCAATGCAAACGACATGTGAAATTATGTGGGAGTATCATTGTCAATATGATTTCTTAAAGATGTCACAGATTTATAAAATGTCCTTTTATCTGCACACTTTTATACTATTATTATATCATTTACAATATTATCACTTACTCTATTGGTATTCTCTTCAAGCATAGCAACACAACTTACCATTCCAATACATGGCCATACGTTATAACATCTGTATTTTTTGCTTATAATCTAATAAAATTGAATCCCGACGTTCCAACCCAGACCAATCCAATCAAATAAAGTTGTTGATTAGCCGCAGACTGACTGGGGGATTTACAGTAGATGAAATGTAAATCACTTTCAAGTAGACGCTGCTAAACGTACGGTGGCCATGAAGGGACATCATTCACGCTAAGTTAATTAAATGCATGAATTGTGACTGGGATTTCCCTGAAGACTGGCTGATAAACCACGGAACAGCCAAGTACGACAAACCCGAGACTAAAGCAGGGAATTAGAGACTTATTTATTTACATGATTTAAAAGCCTGATGAATTTTAAGCAAATGGAGTGAGTGACCAAGACTGACTTTAGAGAAGACGCTACGAAATCTGCTCCTTTTAAGTGAACCCATATGAAAAATAAGAAAAGAGGAAAATTAGCAAAAAATGTCAACACAAAATACTTAGTTTGTCTGGTTTGTTTTAGACATGTGTATTGTGCACACTTTGTACATTAAGTACCTGATGCCTTGGGTGATTGTTTCTATCTGGTTTTGTCAATGTACTATAATTATGGATGATTTCAATGTCAATGTCAATGTCAACTTTATTTATATAGCACATTTACAACAACACCAGCTGCCTAAAGTGCTTCACAGGCACGAATTGGTGTTTAACGCCAGAGCGCAAAAATGTGTCTTTAAACTAGACTTAAAAACTTCCAATGAAGGAGCTGCTCTAATGAACAGAGGTCACTATTCCACAGTTTGGGGGCAGCAACAGAAAAGGCTCGGTCTCCTCGAGTTTTGAGATGAGACCGGGCACTTTCAGGGGCAAAACCATTCAAACATTTAAAAACAATGCCTTGTATTGTTTTGTTAAGTACTTTGAGTTGGCTTGTGTATGTGCTATACAGGTGATAGAGCATTGGCCTTTAAGCCTGAAGGTTGTGGGTTCGAGCCCACCTAAGACCTTCTTCATGACTCTCACTAATGACTGCTGTCTTTGTATCCTTGGGCAAGACACTTAACCCCACTTTGCCCGAAGCCCCCACTGAAAGATCTCAGCTCATGTGGACTTACCACCTGCAGGAGAATCAGTGAGGGGCTGGTGCTCTGTGTACTGGGTGCAGCTCAGACTGCCACCCCCCGACCCATAAATGGTTTAAGGGAAGAAAATGGATGGATGGATGGATGGATGAGGACAATGAAGACAACGAAGACAGTGGAGCAGGTTGCTATCCATAGTGTTTTCAGAATACTATGAAGAACCCATTTTGAACATTAGCTAGCTGGGCAGACGTCTTGCTAACATGGTTGCTAAGGCAGGCTGGAGTTTCCCTAGTCAGTCAAAGCATTTGATTAGTCAATTCTCATATGGCTAATATCTGGATTTATAAAAACAATATCAAAACACCAGGATCACGAAGAGCACTAAACTATGTATTTCGCTAAGACCAACATGGTGAGTGTGACACAGGGTTACTGAGAGGAGTTCACTTTTCAATGTAAGTCAATAGGAGCCAGAATGCCCAGGAGCCCTTCTCTATTGGGCTTCATTGAGGTCTGGGATTAGCATTGTCCATCTACTGTATATAGAGTCGATGGTTTTTCCAGATGTAAATAGAAATTAACTCTAGAGGAAGATTATATAAACTGGTAGCTTTTATTCAACTATTTACTAAAATCATGTATGTATAAAGTGCACATTTTGTTTTTCCTTTTTTTCTCATTGGAAGCCTTCTGTCTATACTCCCCCTGAGTCCTGTCCTTCAAACGGATTACCTTAGTTCTTGTTGCTATGAATTATGGATCGGCGTTCACTCTGGGACTTCCTGGACCCACTCTGTTTGTGTGTTTAATCAATGTTGTTAACTCCATAAACAGCTCACCACTCCATAAAAATAACAATGGGACTTTTTTCTCATTCAGTGGAGATGAAGCAGGCATGTGTACAGGCGAAAATAACATATATATGATTTATTAGTGTTCTTTTGGCCCTTTAAACACAATCTTTGGAATACTTACTCTGGCAAGTCACGTTTAAAAGGAGAAAACACATGAAAAATACAGTAAGAGATGACAAGGAAGCACCACACTGTCGTCAAGGGGCAGATTCTGCTGGATGTAGAATTAAAAACGTATTATTGGATGATGAAAAAGTGAAGTCCTTTGAGGCGAATGCGGTTGTCATTTTGTGCTGTGCAAAAATGAATTGTGTTACATTTATTTATGCATAGACTCTCAGTATAAATGGACCTCTCTATACAAATGGCAAGTTAAGCAGCCACAGCAACAATACAAAAATGTAAAAATGTCATTGTCTCCTCATGTATAAAGCCTGCAAGGTCCTTATAATAGGACAAAAGTATAAATGTACAAGCATTATTGCACTTATGTCTTATTAAAATAACCATCTAAGCCTTCAACAACAATACAAAAGCGGACATGCATTAATAATTGAAAAAAAGTTGCGCACTTCTATCCGCAGCAAACTTTTAATTCCAGTTTGGTCACATGTGATTAGTTATTAGACACTATAGTTCGTAATCTCTTTCAACAGACAAATGTAGTCAAATACATAACATCTGACCTGCTGATGAGGATAATCCTTCAGCCTGGCGAGTTGCGGATCGACTGCCGTTATTGAATTAGCTCGTGTCTGTTATTAGCGACGATAATAAGGATCATGTAGAGTTTAATCTGACGCAGACACAACACATAAAAGTGCTGCCAATAATCGGGACATGTTTATGAATGGATTACGTTCACACACAGAGTAAAAGCTGCGAAGCAACGAGGGGAAATTAAAGATGGCTCAATCTCCTGGAGTGGATTTATTTGTTTGTATTTAGACACGGCCCCATTTCCACCAGCCCTACTTGGCTTTACTCTACTCTACTCAGCTCCAATCTACTCTGGTTGGGCGTGTTTTCACTGGCTCTGTTGAACCGGTACTAAGAACTGTTTTAGTACCAGCTTGGCCCTGGTTTGAGCGAGGCAGAATCAATTGTTCTAACTGATGGAGTGCTGCTGGAAGC